GCAGCTCCGACCCTTTGGAATGAACTCCCCACAGAGATCCGGACCCTCACCTCTCTCCAGGCCTTCCGGAAAGCCGTCAAAACCTGACTGTGCAGGCAGGCCTGGGGTTGATGAGTTCCCCTCCCCTCTCGACTTGTATGCCTGTGTGATTTTCGTGCATTTTAATTATGTGTACTGTTGTTTATGTTCCCTTTCCCCCCTGAGTTGTTCGCCGCCCTGAGTCCCTCCTGGAGAAGCGGTTTCTGTGCTGTAACCAGGTTTGAAGCCGGACTGGAAGGGGTCAAGGTAACTAGCTTCCTCCAAGGACCGTTGAATAAACCAAATACAATACAATACAATACAATACAATTGCCAAAGGGCCTTAATTTAAGGTAGTTCCTTTGTATGCCAAGTAAAATCTAATAGAATAATACCTCTTGTGCAGAAGCTATATTGGCTGCCAATAAGCTTCCAAACCACATTCAAAGTGAATGCCTTATACAGTCCTATGTGGTATAGTAGGGGTCACCAATCCCCGGGCTGCAGCCCACTACTGGGCCATGGCTGGTTTGGAAATGGGCGACCCAAGCGGCTGGCTGGTGCACAGCATGTGCAGTTCAAATCGTCCAAGTGGCAGGTTGGGAGACACATGCAGCCAAGCCATACGAGCGGCGGACTGGTGCATATACACACGCATCAGCCCACCACTTCCACATTTCCCCTTTCCCTCCCTCTCCCCACTGGACTGCCAAGCCATAAAAGTTGGGACCGCTGTGGTATAGGGTCTCCTTATCTTTATGAACCAGATGCTTCAGATGAAATCTGCTCACCCAACAGAGTTTAGCTGGGAGGAGATCCTATGAATACCCACTTCTTGAGTATGAGATACATATAGTTTTATTACTGCAAGCTACTTAGAATCTGTTAAATATAAATTAATATGTACACATCTGTTTTTTAAAAAAGTTGAATTCATTTATAAATCTCACATAACAATATCTGCACATAGTAAAACCCATTCAAATTCTTAAGCAATTTCCAGCTTAGTTTTCCTTATAGACACCGGTCTCCACTGAAGATATCATTGGCAGGTCTGCATTCTGAAATTTTAACACTGTTTATTTTTCATTTTGACATATAAGATATAAGCACTAAAGACAAGAACTGGATTTACAAGCTAAACATATGAAACTCTGGAGCCTGTCCAAACAAAATTATCCCTAGGTGTTGATGTCCATTTAATAAAAAATCAATGTTGTAATTATCTTCCTACTACTTCCCCAAAGAGTATTAGTAGTCATAACTATATTTCTCATCCAATTATTCTAATGCTGCAAAAAGACAGATAGGGACAGTGGCCAATTGCTGCATAAGATCACTGCCTTCTGACAGATAAACTTTTTTTAAAAAAAGGATTTTTCCACAAGTAAAAAAATGCAACACTACGCTTAAGATAGCAATAGTCCTTTCCAAAATAAAGAGCATCGTGGGATAAACCAGTGGTAACTTTAATTAAGTTAAGAAGTAAACGTTGTCTTCCTCTTTGTTTCCAAGTAACAGCCAGGTTACTGACTTTTAAAATCTATCACTTGCAATTGCACTAATAAGAACCACCAAAATAAATTTCTTGCTATTGTTTAGTGAAGCTCTCACAAAGAAGTCACCTTTACTGCTATACTCTTAGCAATCTAAACCTCAAGGAAATTGTATGGTAAGAGATTTATGAACGCAAATTGTGAATGCACAGCTAATTATTGACTATTCCATGCCAATGCAATAAATACACCTACCCGCCTGTTCATTATTTTCCACTTTTGCCATATTTAACTTCAAATTAAGTTTTTAAAAGTAATTATATTTAGCCCTATGCAAACAGTGCTCTTTTCTAAAAAAAAAAAAAAAAAAAAGCATTTGTGAAAAGCAGTCTTCAACAAACAGCTTAATCAGAGATTTACCAACATACTCTAATCTTTTGATAACTTTCCTCTATTCTGCCATTTCAAAAACACAAATGGCTTTATCCAGGCGATGAAAATGTAAGTAATTGACCTTCTTGAGAACACAGGAAAAAAATTGCCATCAACTGCAAAACTCTAACCATAGATTGAAATGAAACCACTACATCCTTCTTGTTGGACATAAGAAAACTCTTCCCTGCCGTTTGAACTGGACGGAGAAAGGAAGATGCTGTAATACATTCACATGTAAAGCATGTACTACTTTTTATGTTTTCCAAGTACTTTATTGTAAATTGCAACTGTTGTTGTGCTGACCAATAGCATATTCATTTCAATCAATCTGCCCTCTTCAGTATTATTATTTATGATGAAGAAATGACTAGCAGCGGAAGGCTTATGGCAGCTGAATGAATGAAAAAGATCACAAATCCAGAGAATGCATTTGATGAATAATATATCCTCTTTTTAAATAGATATGTTCACCACTGACAAAAGAAAATAAAAACTAAAAAGAAAACTAATAAATTACAAATTAGCTTTCTCTTTCCTTTCCCACTCCTAAATGAAGGATATGTTGAGAGAGATGTTGTGGGACTAAGTATCACTTTACAGAATAAAAGCAGATAATCAGAAAGGAAGGTAACAAACCTGTTGCTGTGGATATTGCATTCCTGCCATGGAACCAGGAGTTCGGGTCTGCATTGCCATTGGAAAACGCTGGGGACCTGATGGCCCATATGACTGCCCTGGATATGGACTGCTGGGCTGTGACTGGGCATGGGGACTGTTGCCGACTGCAAACAACTGAGGTCTTTTCATTACCATTGGATCCATTGGGTTGCCCTATTGATTAGAGGAGGGAAATGATAAAAACTATGTTTTAGTCCACTGCATTTTTGAAAATCACTTGGCTGGTGCAGTTTCAAACAGTCTTCATTCTGAAATGAATTACGCTAACATACTAAAAAAAGGTTTATTTTTAATTTTCAGTTTAGGTTCAAGAATTATATAACTAGTTCCAGAGAAACATGTTCACATAAGTTACACAGTCAATTACACAAGGATGGAAACTCCTTAAGAATGCATCATTGGCAATGGGAATAGCTTACCAGAATAATAGTTTACATAATCTAATTGCTCCATCTTCACCACTGTTCACAGGGTGGTTTTTTTTTTTCATTTTTTATTCCAAGTCAATAAGCAAATCATACAATATGGTTCACATCAAAAGTTTTGATTTTTGTTTTGAGTTTGGAAAATAACAATCATATCCTGGTTTTTGTTGGTGGGACATATAATACTGTTACAGCAAATCACTGCTTCCTTTTTATTTATTTGATTTATATAGTTATCTATCTCACACAGCAACTCTTGGCAGCTCACAATGGGTAAAAGCAATGCAAAGAATAGTGCAATATGCAATAACATACATATCAGCTACTGTTACTCAAATATGTAGTAAATGGCACAAATATTTTTAAAGTTTTCACATCTCACAAAAAGTGAATTACAATATCTGTTCCTTTCTATAGACAATTAAATTATGCAAAGTGTTTTTTAAACTGAGGAATGAGCTGTTTCTATTTACTTTTTGTATGGAATTTAGTAATTCAACAGGAGTCAATTTATTTAGAGGACAATAACAGAAAAAAATGTGCATATCCACATACTCTTATAGATTCATATCTACAAACACTATTTTTATCATTATTATAGCCATTTTCAATAGCAATGGATTTATAATTTAATGTGACATTTTAAGTAGATCATAATTTTCCATTAGATGCTATTTCGTTGTAGGGGTCTTTTAACATGAACAAATATTCAAAAACTGATTTTCCCATTTCTAATCCGTGTTGCTATCTGAAACTTTTTCGCTACACTTCAATATTGAATTCTTTCAGGATTTAAGTGACCAATACAATTATGATGTGTTCTTTTTTCTTGGACCATTGATTTCTGACTACACTTGGATGCAATACATAATTTGACTAATATTTTTTCTTGTACCATTTAATGTACACCGTTAAAAGTATCTTGGATAAATGCAACTCCAGGTACTTTCATGCAGACCACTGGCTACCCCTTTGTTCTGCCCTTCACATGAGATTATCATTTACTCCCATTAGCAATATCACTTAGACTTGTATACTGCTTTACAGGGCTTTACAGCCCTCTCTAAGCGGTTTACGGAGTCAACATATTGCCCCCAAAAATCTGGGTTCTCATTTTACTGACCTTGAAAGGATGGAAGGCTGAGTCAAACCTGAGCTGGTCAGGATCAAATTCCTGGCAGTGGGCAGAGTTAGCCTGCAATACTGCATTCTAACCATGACTCACCATGGCTCTTAGGTCTTATTTGGGATTTTTTGTAGTGGCTTTCCAAAGCAGCCAGAGTTTAAAAATTAGAATTGACCTTTTCATATCCACTTTTTTATCCACTATAATTTATTGGCTTTCATGAAACAATAATTTAAAGTAACCATATATTATTACTTTGTTAGGAATTGGATTCAGATGTATAGAGCTTGCAGATACTATCTATTAGTAAACTAAATTTACTCATTCAAACATAGTTTTGCTTTCTTGTCCTCCTTAGTCTCATCTATGTTTTCAATATTAATTTGATTCAAAGTGTATATTTACTTGGGTTATTTAAATTAATTCATGCTACAGTGACATGGCCATAGTTAGATACCCAAAAAGAAAATGGTTACTGGCATATTAAAAATGTGATTAAATCTTATTACCATTCTGCAGTTTATCTTAAAAATACAAAATAAGATTCTACAAAATTAAAATCAACCAAATTATAATAGATAGTAATTATTGCAACATTTTTCAAAGACACTACCACAAATTAATTACAAAAATTGCAACAGCTAAATGTGCCTAAAATCAACATGCATATGCTATGAAAATATACTCCTCAGATGTGCATTTATATATGAGAGCCATTGAGAGCCAGTCTGCTGTAGTGATTAAGACACAAGGCTAGAAACCAGGAGACCATGGGTTCTGGTCCCATCAAGGCACAGAGCCAACTTGGTGACCTTGAGCCTGTCACTCTCTCTCAGCCCTAGGATGGTGACAATGCCAAACCATTTCTGAAATCCTGCCAAGAAAACCACAGGGATTTGTCCAAGCAATGGTGAGAAGCCAAAACTGTCTTGAAGGCACAGGGTGGGGGTGGGGGAATTACCTCCATAGCTATACTCGCAGTGAATGCTGGGTTAGAGTCATGAGTTAAAGCTAAAGATATGCAATTGGTTTACAAAATGGACTTTTCTTCCTGCAAAATTCCAGTACAAAGTTCTCTACAGATCTCTAGAAATGCAATTATGGGACTTCATAGAGTAGAAAGGATGTGATTAGTGATACATGTTCTGACTCTGGATGAACAATGTTTCTCTAGTTTTTGACACTGCATTTTAAAAAGTATTTGAAGCTGATTCAGAGAACGGAATCGAAAACAAGAGATTAGAAACTGAAGTCCCATAAAAAGAGACTGGTGAAATGGTAATATTTAGTGCTTTGACAGCAGAAGACTGAGAGGAGATATGACACCACCCTTCAAATACATGAAAGAACATCACACAGCATAAGGTTAAGATCTGTTCTCTACTTTTCAAGTATGCAGAACATGAAATAATGAATTAAAGTTGGAAGAAGGCAGATCTTATTTGAATGTTTTTTTTTAAACTCCTAACTGGAAGAATAGTTTGACAGTAAAACCAATTACCAAGAGAAGAGGTGGGCTTTCCTTCACAGGATGTGTTCAAATGAAAGAAAACCCAGAAAAAAAGATTACATTGGTTTGTTGAACTGAGTAGTGGGTTTGACTTGATGACCTAACTTGCCTCCAACTCCAATGATTTTACTGCACTATATAATAGCAATGAGGAGGTTTTGCCATATTTCTCCTGGGAGTTTTAGAACTGTGGAGCAGTGGAGAGAGATATGTCTTAAAATATTAAATAGAAATCTATATCTTCCCTCAGTCCAAATTGATGGCCTTTATAAAATAAAGCAACGAAATTAAATGGCACTTCCTCCAGTTGCATGTTATCCATTTATTCTAATCTTACTTTTAGAATACTGGGGTTAGGGTATCAACCAGTCACAGGTAATTTATTATACTGTGGATAAATCTATTATGGGTATAGAGCAAACAAATCACAATCAACAGCTCCCATCCCTTTTTAATGAACTACACACAAGTTGACTTTTTGCAGTGCCATTGCAGAGGCACATAGAGGTTAAAATAACATTTAAACCCAATTGCTCACATCTATCCCACCTGATGGCTGAAAGAATTCTAGGACCGAGAAAAACTAATTACTTGGTTTGGTTTGCTTGTTGTCTATAATGTTACTGCATTATTTAAGAGTAATTTATAGTATCTATAGTGTTTTCCTCTATCTGCGTCCTTACTTCTGGCTTATTTTTAATCCTGACTTTCTGTTACCTTGAACCATCACATCAAAATCCTCTTGAAATCAATATAAATAACCTTCATCCATAAAGGAAGAATTATTCCATTTTTTATTATATCTGAAAGTTTTATTTTGGGTTTCTAGTCTTATGTTTCAGGAGTTTGGAACATTTGACTGCTTTTTTTCCAGTTGCTCACAAAAACAATGACAAATGCTTTGATTACCTACCAGGACTATGCCAGCTGCATTCCCATATCTCCCCCAAAGGCTGTTCCTGAGGATGAAGGGAAGCTGTGGGAAGCTGCACAATGGAACATATGGTTGCAACAGACAAAGAAACTGTGAGGAATTCTATCTATGAAGCATTAGTAGAAGTACCCAATGTTTTCATTCTGCTACAGAATACATTTCATTATTTTGATACATTAAATACTACTACATGTGCTTCATGGAACATGGAGAGGTTTTAAAAGTTCATTTTTAAATAAAAATGAAAGGCAATACAGAAAGCTCTAATGGAAAATGGAAAACTCCAATAGCATTGTTTAGCTATGATATATTCCACTTCAGGAGGCTCATATCTTCATTCATAGTCGATTAAAAAAAACCTTACCTAAGAAATACATTTTCTCATAATTTATTTTGATGTAAACCAATATAATTCAACTACTTCTCATATCTATGGCTGCATGAAGATAAACTGCCTAAAAACAACACATTTTAAGTAACTCATGAGCCCTGCCCTAGTTGAAGCAAGTTCCCCTAGGGAATCTGCACAGATTCACAATATACACTCAGCATTCTGATTTCCAGATTTAAAGTCAAAGTGCTAGATGAATGTTCATAACATTTTGAATAAGAGCCTAAGTTGAGGGCTTGCAAGAGATGAAAGATAAAAGAGAATAAATCAAATAAAGAAATGTTAGGAAATAGTTTCTAAGTATAAACTGTATGATATGTTCTTCCAGAATGTTTCCCTATGATTCTACCTATATTTGCACAATATATAAAATTGATTTTGTTCTCATGTAATAAGAAGGAAAAGAGCAGTCTAGCCTATACTCTCAGAGTTATCAACCTATAATGGAGGTACATAAAAGCATAAATAAAAACTTACTGAGGCTTATGATAGCTACTCGGTATTGAGATCAAGCTTTTAATTCTTCGAATGCCGTATAGCTCAGGATCTGCAAGACTAATGTCTTTAACTGTAGAGGTATTGCTTTGCTACTGATAAGGAGTAGAAAATTCCCAGCATCCACACTATTTTCAGTTATGCCAGTTACCAATAACAATTCCAATATTGCAGATTATGTCCTTGTTTCTGCATCTAACAAGTTTTGTGATACACTCAGTGAAGAGATGGGGAATGTGTGATACTTAGACATGGTTTGGTTTCCACCAGCT